GAGAGAGAGAGGGAGGGAGAGGGAGGGAGAGGGAGGGAGAGGCAAAGCCATGAGAGGTTGGGTAGGCAAACAGTGGGAAGTCAATGGATTATAACTCCTAAGAGGCTAGAACTAGGGTAATAGGAGTCAGATGGAGAGACAGGCGAGCGTGGGTTCACAGATGGGATGATTAAAACAGATTATCTGGCAGGGCTTGGGAATACAGGGTGATAGAATGAGAGTGGTGAGGACAAGGAAGTGAGAGACCAGGGCACAATGAAACCACAAAGACATCAACAGAATCAGAGGGGCAGTGTGACAATGGACAGGACACAGTGACAGTGAACCATGAGCTAAACTTTCAAGGAATAACTGTCACTGATAGAGATGGCAGCAATTATGAAGAGTAACTGAGGATATTGCTACAGTTGATGGTATGTGCTTTAAAGCTAGAAATAGTGGGGATAGAGGGAGGAGATAATGAAATTTTTTTGTTTTTTGAGACAGGGTAGCCTCAAACTCATGGGGATCCTCCTGCCTCCCAGTGTTGGGATTATAGGCATGTACCACCATGCCTGGCTCATTTTTTTGGTACTGGGGATCAAACTCAGGCCCTTGCACTTGTGAGGCAGGCGCCAGAACCACTGAGCTAAATCCCTGGCCTGGGTTCATTTCTAATGTTTAAATGTCATTTTCCCCATTAGACTGTCAACTACTTAAGAGAAAAGAGACAACTGTTTTTTGTGGATTCTTTTCGCTTGTTTTTTGTAGTACTGGGAACTAAACACAGGGTTGCTCTACCACTGAGCTATAACCCTAGCCCATTTTATTTTTTAGTATGAGACAGGATCTAAATTGCACATGCAGAACTCAAACTTGCAACCCTCTTGACTCATCCTCCCTCAAAGCTGGGATTATGCCCTGCTAAGAACATTCTGCACTCACCACATAGCATTTCTTAGAATACAATAGGTACTTAATAAAATTTTGGTGGTTGAATGAACTTCTGGAATTGAGGAATTTGCTGTTTCCAAAATCTCCAACTGAATTAGAATTCAGCTGTCCTGTTCCTTATTCTAGATGCTGACTTGCAGTATTGTTCTTTTGGTTCTGCCAAAAACAGCTGATGCTGGTTTAGTCATTGAGTCAGTTTCCCCAGCCTGGCAATAACAGCATAACCCTTTTTTTTTTTTTGGCACTGGGGATCAAATTCAGGTCCTCGTGCTCACAAGGCAGGTGGCGGAACCACTGAGTTAAATCCCCAGCCCTATATAACCCTATTTTTCAGGCTTTTTTTTTTTTTTAGACAGGGTCTCACTATGTACTTGAGACTGACCTGGAACTCACTATGTAGCCCAGGCTGGTCTCGAACTCACAGCGATCCTCCTGCCTCAGCCTCCCAAGTGCTGGGATTATAGGCGTGCGCCACCACACCCAGCTACCAGCCAGGTACCTCAGAGAGAATGGTACTGGTGATATAAAAGCATGCATAATTATGTTAATGTAACATGTCTAGGTATTGGCATACAGTTAACAACATTCACTCTTTTTTTTTTTTTTTTTTTGGTACTAGGGTTTTAACTCAGGACCTTGCGCTTGGGAGGCAGGCAGTGGCACCACTGAGCTAAATCCCCGGCCCAACATTCATTCATTTATGAGCACTGAGGACCCTGAAGCCCTGGGCACTGTGCTAGGCATCAGGGGCAGTCTTTGGGGAAAAGGAGCTGCAAAGGGGCAGATGCACTGAGAACTTTCTGTGGGTGAGGCAACAAGGGGAGACACTTGGGTAGATAAGTCATTACTGATAAATAAATATACACAGGTGGTCTTAGGACTTGCACAGTGTCACCTTTTCCCCTCATCTGACTGACACTGTGCTCCGTGTCCTGGTGAGGGCACCCAGGAAATACTTTGAGCTGTCGCATCTTAAAAGCATCACTGTTTGCTGGAAAGACTGTCAGATCATTAAAGTCTGTTTGAAAGATGATTACCTTGTGAGGTAAGAAACCTGGGGTCTGCCGCCGCCTGCATTGCAAGCGCAAAGTCCTGAGTTTGATCCCTAGTATCATAAAATAAACTTTGGTCCTTCTCTAGCTTGTTGTACAGCTTTGGAAAATGGTATGAACTTTTGGGGCCTTTGCTTATTCATGTGTACAACAGGGTTAATACTGTTTCTAAGTTTCCTGTCCACTTTTTTTAAAATTTAATTTATTGGTACATTCTAGGTAGACAGTACAGTTACATTTATTACTGGGATCTTGTACCTTTACATGCCAGGTCTTGGTTCTCATTTTTTCCCCTTGTCCCCACCCTCCCTACACCTTCCCCTCCCCCCTTCAAACATGTCCACTTTTTGATTATAAAGTCTGTATCATAATTCCAACCACATGGAGGGGCACACCTGGGAGGTAGAAAGGAGATAGGAACTAATCTTTGTGCCTGGGCAAGTCATGCAGCAACAATGTGTTCAAGACAAAGGATCTGAGACTGACCTGTAGCATCAGAGTCAGGACACGGCAGCGTATCGCAAAACTCAGCACCTCTTTCCGGTTTGGGTCCAGGGGCCACATCTTCTCACCCACCAGGAATTCAGGTGTCCTGGTACCAGGACTGATCTTCCTTGTATCTCTAAACTCCAAAACCCAAGGAGGAAAATATCACATATAGGCTAAAAGCAAATGATTGAAAACATTCTTTACAGGAAGAACCACCCTCCTTCAGTATTATCGTGGCAAGCTTAATCAGGATTTAATCTCTAATACAAGATAAATTTCTAAAAGGCATAGGGAAGTGAAAGTATAGCACACTGCTTGGAGGAAGAAAATTCCAGAAACAGCTGAAACCTAAAGGATTGATAGGCATTGGCCTATCAACTTCCCAGAGGGAAAAGCATCTTGAAGGCAGATGGGACCAGAGTGGCACTTTGAAGCACTGTATTCGTGTTGGACAGTTCCATACAGAGAAGCTTGAAGCTAGAACACTAAGCTCACAGAAAACCTTTAAAATCCTGTTGAGTACTCCTGTGCAGGAACTAAAGACCCGGATTCAAATTCTGTCACTTATAAATTCTTATTTACTTAGTCTCTCTGAGCCTCAGTTCTTTACGTATAAAATGAGATCAGAATATCTTTTTGTTCCCCCATCTCACAAAATTATGATGATGGTGAAACGGCCTAATGTGTGAAGTGTTACACAAATCTACGATGTGGTTGCTATTTGGTGTTTGCCCTTTTCCTCTTGCCCAGAATAATACACTAGCTCCCAAACTAGAGTCCCGAAAGAGGGGCCCAAACCATTCCGGAAGACCATACTGATTACACATGCCAGCTGAACTCTCTGATGTGTGTTCAGCTGGTCTGTAAAACTAAGTGGAGAAGGAAAAGAAAACCACCACTCAGCAGGACTTCAGCCAGCTCCCACTGCTTAAACAAACTTAGGGTGAAGACAGAGTCTACTACTAGGGATGAAGAAAAACTTATTTTCCGTTTCTTTGTTCGAGTGGCAGCAATATATAAACAACTGAAAACCACTCTGAGGCAAGGAATGCACTTCAGCGCATTTTTTTTTAAACAATTCTTGGAGCTAATAGCAATGGTTCCTGCAGAACTTTCAAACACCAGCCTAGGAAATTAGAAAGGAAGGCAAGAGCATTAGAAGTACCTCATTGATTCGGGGTAAAGAATTAGCCTAAAAAAAAACAAAAATTTTTTTTCTGGTACCAGGGATCAAACTCAAGACCTTGTGCTTGCAAGGCAGGCACAGTGCCACTGAGCTAAATCCCTGGCCCACTTCTTTCTTTTTTTTTATCTGGACAATACCTATCAAACCTCTAGGTTTCAGCTGTTCTTGGAATTCTCATAGTCTCTCTAAAAATGTGCTATGCCCTCACTGTCCTGTGCCTTTTAGAAATTTATCTTGTGGTACTAGAGATTAAATGTAAGGCTTTGCAATGAACTACACTCCCAGCACTTTTTTTCTAGTTTTTATTTTGAGACAAGGTCTTGCTAAGTCTTCCAGGCTGGGCTCAAATTTTTGATCTTCCTGTATCAGCCTCCCAGAATGCTGGGATCCCAAGTGGGAGCCATCATTCCTGGTTTGCTGTCACTTCTTTAGGTTTTGAGGCAGGGGTTTCATATCATAACTGTATTCCTGGGGATTAACATAAAAACAGGATTTTGTGTATATGCTTGGGGACTGAAACAGTCTACTTCCAAGCTACATATCAGCCATTTCTAAAAATTTATTTTGAGACAAGTTCTTGATAAGTTGCTCAGGCTCGGCTTGAATTTGCAATCCTCCTACTTCAGCCTCCCCAGCAGGTGGAATTACAGGTGTGTGCCACCATGCCTAGCTTCTTCAAGCAAGCACCTTAAACAGAAGAGGTAGAGACAAGACACAGCATCACCAGTTCTCTAACTAGATGTAAAGTCACTGCTCAAGTATTACTCCCATCATATTTCACGTAAAGAGCAAAATGACAAAAAGAAGCTGCAGAAAAATAAAATCGTCCAGAAAGGGATCAAGGTTGGCTAATAGCAACAGTATTCTCTCCGTGGCACAAGGGGGCGCCTGCTGCTTACTCCATCACCAGGTCAGGAGGAAGGGAGGGGCCCTAATGCCACACTGGTTTCGCTCATGAAAATTCAGTTTAAAGTCAAAACTCCAGAGGGCAGCGGTATTTTCTGATTCTACTCAGTATCTCCAGTGTCTCACTCGTGGAATCGAGAGAAATCACAGAAATAGGCACACCCGACCTGACACGCTGTTCCTCTATTCTAGGGCGAATTCACAATTTTCCCTTCCTTAACTTCCACCCCCATGCAGAAGAGAAGTTGGGAACAGAAAAAGTGCTTAACCCACCTCTGCCTCGTGACCAGACTTGCATTCTTCCTTTACAGGGTCAAATTCTGGCCTCAGCGACCACAGACTTGTATCCCACTTAGTTTAAGGTAAACCAAGTAAAAGCAAAAGAAAGCCAATCAATTCTCCCTTCCAGCTATTTTCCAGCCTCACTTCCCATCAAGTCCCTGGCCAAATCAGGCTCGCTTTATGGCAAGGCATTTACAGATCAACTAGTTTCACTTTTATTTTCCCATGAGATAAACAGGATCCAAAGATCTCATTAGAGACAGTAAGGACTGTATAATTACCATCGCCATTTTATGGACGTGGAAACTGAGGCTCACTGGGGCCAAGCGACACACCCACAATTTGACCCTCATCTTCTCTTGCCTCTGAAACATCACCCACAGCCAAAGAGTACGTGCTCTTTCCCACACAGGATTGATTACACGCCAAGTCCAAGGCCTAGCCCAGTACTTCCTCCAATGACAGCATGCTCTTGCTGTATGCTTTCAGTATGCCCTGAGAATTTGGAAAAGCCTACGAACTGGACCCTCTGAGTAAGACTGACATCTTCGGTGGGGCGGCATCGGTCTAACCCAGCGTCCTCAGGGCCTAAGGCCTCGCGGGCCGTCTCGAGCCAGGAGTCCCTTCAGCCGTGTCTGAAGCCCGTGCTAGCCTGCTCCTTTCGGACAGTCCCTACCGGGGACATAGCCCCAACCCTCATTCCAAAGGAGCCTCGGCCCAAGAGCTACTCCCGAGGGAGCCAGCGGAGTCCGGACCAGGAACAGGGCCGGAAGCAGGCGAGGGCGGGAGGCCGTAAAGGAAGAGGCGGCGCCCGAGGACGTTATGGCGGAGAGGCGGGGCTCCACGCTTCTCCGCAGCCTTCGCCTCATTTCTCTAAGCCTCCTTTTGACAGCTTTCTTCCCTCCCAGAGATCCAAGACTGGAGAACGGGTGCCCTGGTCTTCGGTGCCTGTCCATCCCAACTGCTCCGGCGGGAACCGAATCGCAGCACCTCCATCCGGGGCCAGAGCTGACCGCACCTGCGCGCTGCCTCCGCCGACGGCGGCTCCGCCCCGCTCCTGCCCGGACTCGGCGTTGTCCCGCCTCTCTCGGCGACGGCCATGTTGACTCCAGGAGAGCGGGGCGGGGACCTCGGCTCGGTTTAGCGCTGCGGAGCATCTTCCCGCCTTGGTGTCACCTGAGGAATTCTTCCTCGCACTTCGACTTCCTCTCAGCTCCCTTCCGCGCCTTCAGTAGTACGCCGGGGCTGCAGTCTCAGACTCAGTGCTCTTACCCCGTTCACTGAGTTTCCAATGTGGGCTGAGGCTCTTGTAGTTGGAGTGCCCCGCTTCCTCTTCACAGAAGCCAGAGCCTTGCTTTCCTTTCTGACAGGCAAAAACAGCTCAGCACAGTGCCTGGTACACAACAGGTTTTCTCTGAAGAGTCAAAGAAAAGCCTTTTTGGGGTTTCTTGGCCAGCAGGGGTACCCTGTGTCCTGGGTGTGAACAAAGTGGGGGGTCCCCTTGACTTTCCCTTCCTTGCTACCCTCTATCTTGCTTCAGTACTCAGCCCCACCTCAGGTGGCTCCCTGAGAATGGTGCGGGGAAACCTTAGAGACACCTCTAGGACTCCTCCCCTCACTCAAGCAGTTTCTCTCATAGGAAATTGGACCAAATAAAAGGAAGCTAACTCAACAAAACCGTCTGTTAGGGAGGAGTAGCCAGTTGGTGCCTCTGTAACGGAAACTGTTAGAACAACTTTGCACCCTCTTTAAAGGAAACAGATGATAAATCCTTCTCCGTTGGTGGATTTCGTTTCTTGGGATTCCAAAGCCTTCTGTGGTTTCAGTTATCTGCCTTCCAAAACGAAGCTAGGGTCTGAGTTAGCCTCTGGCCACAGCCCTGCTCCAGGGAGGGGTTTATCTTCTCCAACAGCCACTAATGTGGGTGGGAACAAAGAGATGGCTGCTGTCTCTCCAGGCAAAGAAAACTAGTCCACTTCAATTCTTGGGGAGGTGGAGGGGGCAGGGGGTGGTTCGGACTATATCTTTTGATTCTTTGTAACGCATTTCAGGTCCTGAGACCTAACCCCAAATATTTGTTGTGTGTAAAGTGGATGAATGTATATTTTAGTGGTTTTGTGATGGAGAAAGAAAAAAAAATGAAGTTTAGAAGGCTTCTTCTCCCAGGTTTTTCAGTGGCATGCATTTTTTTTTTTTTTTCAGCTCCAGAGCCCTGTGAGTAAAATGGCAAAGTCTCAGGGCACTCTTGTGACTGGGACCCAAGGTTGTGACTTGAATCTCTAGAAGCTTATAAGGCTCTAAGCAGCACTCTATTTGCAAAGATAAAATTGAGAAATGGACTGTCCTTGTACTGTGAATTCACAAAAGAAAAAAAAAAAAGCCATGTATTTTCAGGGTTCTGTCCACACCAGATTCCCTCAAAAATCTTTTGTGACAACTCAGAATGTTCTCTAAAATCTCAACTGGCACCCTTTTAGAGGTAGGACTTTGTCCAGATCTTCAGCTCCACTTTTCCTGCAATTTCTCTTTCCTTTCCTTCTCTGCTACCCAACCCCCGCCCCTTCCACTCTGTTTCCTGTTTCATTTTCTGGCTCCTGCTTTGACAGGAAAACCAGGACGCTGAATTTTGTGTTTTGAAAGCCCTGGCTCCCTGTCTCTCCAGGTTCAAAGGTGGCTAGGAGGGATGGGAAGGGGTCTGGGGGCCTAATTACAAGAGGTAGAGGCAGCTCTCCTCAGTCTGCTTTTAGAGTCTGCAGCTAAAATGGAGGCTGCATCAACACAAGGAGCCAGCTGAGCTACCAGATCTGTGGAAAGAAAGCGAGACAGACATACCCCAGGGCTCTAGACTCTATACTTCCCCAGCCACTTCCATTAAGAAGCAGGTATCCCTCACCACCAAGAAATAGTTTTGTAATACAAATCCCTAAACAAAGCAATGCACCACTATTTTTAGAATTCAAAAGGGTACATCATTTCTGTTCCCTGAACTTGAAGGGCACTGTTCTTGCTATTACCCTCATTTGAAACATTTTACTACCACCCAGCCCCTTATATTTGGGGCTTGGTGGAATATCACCTGCTCAGAGGGGGTTTCTCTGACTACCAAGCCCTTCCTGTCCTATCCCATTATTCTTATTTTCTTCATAGCACTGAACACTGTATGCTTATCCTGTCCATGAATTTTACTTGTTTATTGTCTGTTTCTCTCTTCTGGAATGTAAGCTTCTGAATGTAATGGAAGAGCAGGACTCTTGCTCAAGCAATATATTCCCAGTGCTTACAACATTGCCTTGGAGATCGTATCTTCAGTAAAGAGCTAGTAAATAAATCAATTTGTTTAGCCAGATACCTATTGTTTATGGACGAGATAACTAAAGCTTATAAAGGGAAAATGACTGGACTAAAAGTTATACAGTAAGTGGTAGAGATGGGACTTGGCTGGGTTTTTGTTTTGTTTTGTTTTGCTTTTGGAACAGGGTCTCACTATGTAGTACAGACTGGCCTACACTATTCAGGCTCAGCCTCGGGAGTGATGGGAAAATACAGGGGTCCACACCACACCCAGTTCTCCTGGGCTGGTTCTGTCACTCCATATTATTTAATTTTTTCCCAGGTTTACTCCTTTCCCTCTCCTTTCATCCCACAGAGTTTAAAATAAAGTATTTGCTAAGAATCCTATATGGGGTACACTGTCTTACCTACTACTATTTCTTACTCTCATCTACACTTTGCTCTAGCAAATTCCTATTTAACCTACTTGATTTACTCAACACTATAGGAGTGCCTACCATGAGACAAGGGACAGAGATATTCGACTAAGCAAGACAGACACAGTACTCATGGAGTTATCTACCTTGTAGGATTTATAGTGTTTGGAAAAAAGTGCTCAATAAAGATAGGCCATTACAAATCCCTGAACAAGAGATCAGTAATGTTTCTACTGAAGGACTAGAAGTTAGGGAGTTTTCATAGAGCACTCATCTTCCTAGAGCAACCTGACAACTCATTCCTATTTTATTTTTAATTTTTTTGGTACTGGGAATTGAACTCAGGTCCTTGCGCTTCCAAAGCAGGTGGCAGAACCACTGAGCTAAATCCCCGGCCCATTCCTATTTTATTCCTTGCTCCTGGCTCCACATTTAGAGATCGTCTTGGCTCCAGGGTGGGTAGAGGGACAGCCCATGTATATATATTGACTCTCAGTAGCTCAATATCCTGACACTAAGCTTCCTACAACCCCTGTCCACAGACTGGAGTTGCTTACCCTGATCTGAGATGTGGGCTCCCACTGTAGGGTAAAAGTGACCATACTGGCCTGAATCATATCACTATCAAGTGTTAGCAAGCAAAGCTAGTGCACTTGATGACAAGTAGTGCTGCCTAACCAGAACTTTATGCTACTTCTTTCTACTATAGGTAAGACGACATTTATTGGCAGTTTTCCACATTGTGTCTGGTGACATATTCATCCTGACACCTACAGTCACACCAGTCTCATTCATTTACATTTTTTTTACCTCTATTGGATCTCTTGAATATGTCCATCTACCTCAGGTCAAAGACTTTGCCACGCTTCTAATTGCAGGAGCCAACACTGATGCTTCAAAGCCCATGGACAATTTTCACCCTTCCTTCCGTGTTTGCATTTTAATAGAAAACCATGATTCCACTGTGAGGCCTGGTGTGAAGAAGGCCTTAGCCACTTGGGGGTGGCAGTGGCTGCAAGGCTAAAGAGCCAATGAGGTTGAGAGTATTGTTTAGGCTGGACTTGGCTGCTTTCCCGCTATGAAAGAAGGCTAAGGTCATTGGGGGTGGGAGTGGGAAGGGAGGAGTCTGGGAAAAGAACTACTGGCCACACCCCTAAGTTCTCTACTGGCAAGGTTCTATTTACTTCTCAAAAGCAAATTACTCTCAGCTCAGTGGTTAGCAGTTCTGTTGGCTGTAGTAGCTCCAGTCAGAAACTGGAGACCAGGCTAGGCCCCCACTGCATTGCAGGGGAGCAGATAAAAGGAACCCAGGAAACCGAACTCCTAGGTAATGGTCCTTGTACAGCCCAGAAATGCACTTTCTAGATGAGAAAATGGAGCTCAGGAGGCAGAGAGCAAAAAATAGCCATTAGCAATATTGCTTACCAAAATATAGATGTGAAACCTCTCATTTAGTTTTTTTCCAGACAAGTCCTAGGAAGGCATCTTGGTTGATAAAAGGTTTTTCTCTCAATACAGAAACATTAATTATTCATTCATTCTGGTCCCTGACCTAAATATTAACAGTCACACTTAGTTTGATACACACTTGATTGAAATTCTTGGGACAATTTTACCTCATGCCAGATCCAAAAAAAACAAACCCTGCTTGCTGCACACCACAACATATATTTCCTGGTTGTTCTCCCATCTAGAGAGGAAGTATACTGTGGTACACTGGTAAGAGCACAGGGCTCAGTCAGGTGGGCCTTTCTTAGGATATGAACTTAGGCCTTCAGTTTGCTCGGCCTTTTCTCCCAATGGTAAAATCGGAGCTAGAACACTGACCCCACTGACAGGCAGGGCTGCTGTTAATTGTGATGCACTATGTACAGCATTTTAGTAGATACTCAGTAGAAAACCATCTCAATCTGACTTCAAAGTGTTCACAATCATTTTTTGCTGCTGCCCAATTTCTCCTCAGACCTGAAACCGAACTTTCTCCCTTGATTCCCTAAGGGGATGAATAGAGAAGTTGTATCTTGTGACATTAACGTCATAAAAAGCAGCTGCATGTAGCCAACTTCTACAGTATCACTCTACTTCTTAAATAAGTACCATGTGCCAAGGGATATAGCACTTCCCTGCCTTCAGAGCTTTTACATTCCAGTAGAGTGCAGGTAGATCAGCCAAGTGCTGTAAAAGTAAGGCAGAAAAGGAAAACAAGGCAGGGTAGTATTCTTTTTTGAAGGCCTGGGGGGTGGTGCCGGTGATGGAACCCGAGGCTTTGTGCATGCTAAATACATGCTCTTCACTGAGTTATACCCACAGCCCTTAAATCTAAAGTAAGACCTAA